CTGGGGGTGCCAGGTTTCTCTTCATTGGCCCCCGGTGTTTCTAATTTAAGTCCCCACTTCACCGAGGGGTGCCTGCTTTCTCTTCATTCGCCCCCCGGGTTTCTAATTGAAGTCCTCAATGCACCCGCGGTCCCTGATTTCTCTTGATTGGCCCCCAGGGTCTAATTGAAGTCCCCATTGCACCCGTGGTGTCTGCTTTCTCTTCATTGGACCCCGGGGTTTCTAATTGAAGTCCCCATTTCCCCCGGGGGTGCTTGCTTTCTCTTCATTGTCCCTGGGGGTTTAATTGAAGACCCCATTTCACCCGCGGTGCCTGCTTTCTCTTCATTGGCCCCCGGGGTTTGTAATTCAAGTCCCCATTACACCCGCGGTGACTGCTTTCTCTTCATTGGCCCCCTGGGGTTTCCAGTTGAAGCCCCCATTTCACCCAGGAGTGCCTGCTTTCTCTGCATATGACCGCCGGGTTTCGAACTGAAGTCCCCATTTCCCCCGGGGGTGCCTGCTTTCTCTTCATTGGCCCCCAGGGTTTCTAATTGATGTTCCCATTTCCCCCGGGGGGGTGCCTGCCTTCTCTTCATTGGCCCCTGGTATTTCTAATTGAAGTCCCTATTTCACCCCAGGGGTGCCTGCTTTCTCTGCATTGGCCCCTGGGGTTTCTAATTGAAGTCCCCATTTCACACTGGGAGTGTCTGCTTTCCCTTCATTGGCCCAAGGGGTTTCTAATTGAAGTCCTCATCTCACCCGGGGGTGCCTGCTTTCTCTTCATTGGCCCCAGGGGTTTCTAATTGAAGTCCCCATTTCCCGCAGGGGTGCCTGCTTTCGCTTCATTGGCCCCCGGGATTTCTAAATGCAGTCCCTTTTCCATGGGGGATCCCAGCTTTCTCTTCATTGGCCCCCGGGGTTTAATTGAAGTCCCCATTGCACCGGGGTGCCTGATTTCTCTTCATTGGCCCCCGAGGTTTCTAATTCAAGTCCCCATTGCATCCGTGCTGACTGCTTTCTCTCCATTGGCCCCCGGGGTTTCCAGTTGAAGTCCCCATTGCACCCGGGGTGCCTGCTTTCTCTTCATTGGCCCCCGGGGTTTCTAATTAAAGTCCCCATTGCATCCGCGCTGACTGCTTTCTCTCCATTGGCCCCCGGGGTTTCCAGTGGAAGTCCCCATTTCACACTGGG